GGTACCTTGAATGTTGGTTTAAATTTTTGTAAAAGGCATAATACACTTGACTTGGTGGGTTTTGTAGACTCTGACTTTGCATGTGACAAAGACACAAGGAAATTCACCACTTCATATTACTTTACCCTTGGAGGAAATTGCATTAGCTGGAAGTCACAGCTTCAGCCTATTGTTGCTCTCTCAAAAACTGAAGCACAGTACATTGCTATCGCTGATGTGTTTAAGGAAGCTGTGTGGCTATAAGGTTTGTTAGCCGAAGCAAAGCTGACTGATGGCAAGGTTACTGTATTCTCAGATAGTCAGAGTGCAATTCCTCTTAGCAAGAATCCAGTATACCATGAGCGAACCAAGCATGTGGATGTTCGCTTCCACTTCGTCAGGGACTTAGTAACACAAGGGGTAATTGATCTCAGAAAAGTATCCACTAAGGATAATCCAGCTGACATGGGAACCAAGGTTGTTTCACCTGTAAAGTTCAAGCACTGCTTGAACCTGCTGCATGTGAGATAACCTGTGAAGATTAGAACTATGAAGGAACTGGTTGGGTTTGCTGCATTGTAAATTTTAGTTGTTATATGTGAAGCCTTATGCAACACCGTTTTGACTTAAGCCAAGACTTCATCCTGATCGTTGGTTTGAGGACAGATCTGACGGTTGAGGACTTAAGTTGAGTCAAACCTATAAAAGCGGAGGACCTTTCAGTTTCACACTAACGCATTCTCTCTCTGTTTTATATCTGTCAAAGCTACTAGATTAGGGTTCAAGATTAGGGCTTTGTGAGGGTGTAAATCTGCGGATAATCTGTCCATTGAGTCGTGTTTCTTAGTGGGGTGGGAACCTAGTATAGAGTTCTTAGTTCAGATTGTAGGTTTATCTTTGTTATTCTAAAGCCTGTTTGATCTTGGTTGAAATCTTGCAAAGGGAAGAGAGTTTGAGGGTTATAACCGTTCTTGATCGTAATAGTAAGTGCAGTGAGCATCCATATTCTGGAGCTCAACGTGGATGTAGCTTGTTCAATATTGAACAAGTGAACCATGGTAAATACTGTGTGTTGAATCTATTTGGGTTGCGTTGATTGTGTGTTTTTGGTTGATGTTTGCTTGATTTGAGTAAAGAGGAATTACAACAGGCAGATTACGGGTTAGAATCAGAGTTGTTTGATCTAGGGTTTTGGGCATATTCTTGTAATCGTGACTGTAAGTGATTGTTCAATAATCATAGTGCAGCGAACTCCCTTTTTTAGAGTTCAACATGGATGTAGCTTGCTCAAATAGGGCAAGTGAACCATGGTAAAATCTGGTGTTGATTGTTTGTGTGTTTTCCTGTTTCTTGATTGTTTGTAGTTGTTTCTTGGTTGATTGCATAACAATTCATCAGCATCAGAAACGGATGGTGGCTACAAGGACTTGGAGTACTGTTTTTTTTTTTTTTTTTGGGGGCGCGGGGGGGTGGTTAATTGTGTTGTTGTTCAAGTCGGCTTGAGCGTATCTCAACTAATCCTTAAGAAAAACTATCCCACAAGTCACAAAAACCCACCATCGCAGTTCGCAGACTCTTAGGTAAATCATGAACAAAAGTATTACCTTCACACTTAACTGGGAATCGAACCTGGTAATGGGTGTTTTTTTTCTTTAATAATTTTTTCTATAAGACATAGATCTATTTCTATATCTGAAGAATAATCGAACTGTATGTATATAACATAATCTTATTAGAATTAATTAAATATAGTTAGTCTATGGATGATGCATAGTAGTCGCAAGCTAAGCTTGATATTAAATAGCTATGGTACCATTAATTTCTTAATAATAAAATGCTACTCCCATTTAGGATGAGAAAAAACAAATATAAATACATTCTCGAATCTCATAAAAACAAATAAAGTTAAGCAAACTCTTATAAATTCATACACAGAATCATATTCTTGGAAAACCCTCTAATTCACTACAACAAAAAGGACTTTTAGCTATGATTTTGTTAACGACGATTTTAAAATTCGTCGCCAAAGGTAATTATTAGCGACAAAATATGAAATTCGTCGCCAATAGTTTCGCGGACTTTCTAATCCTCGCACGAGATGGCGGGAAACAAATTAGCGACGGACTTAGCGATGACATAATTTGTCATATAATGTTTTTTATGACGAAAATACAAAAAGCGACGCCCAAGTTGTTTTCGCGACTTAACCATATGTCAACGTGGATACTTTTTAGAGACGAAAATAGTACAAAACGTAGCCAAAAGTATTTAGCAACACAAATGCACAGTGCCATAAAATGTGTTTGGCGACGAAAATATAGAAAGTGATGCCAAAGACGTTTAGCTATGCAACAAAATGCCCATCGTAACAGCTTTTTGGCGACGAAAATATAAAAAGCAATGCCAAAGACATTTAGCTACTGGACAAAAGGCCTGTCGTAACAGCTGTTTGGCAACGAAAATATAGAAAGCGACGTCAAAGACATTTAGCTACGCAACAAAAGGCCCGTTGTAACAGCGTTTTGGTGACAAAAATATAAAAAACGATGCAAAATCCATCTAGCTATGCAACAAATAGTTCGTCGGAAAACATTTGGCGACGCAAATATAAAATAAAGGCCAAAGACATTTAGCTACGGAACAAAAGGCCCGTCATAATAGCTTTTTGGTGACGAAAATATAGAAAGCGACGCAAAAGACATTTAGCTACGCAACAAAAGGCCCGTCGTAATAGCTTTTTGGTGACAAAAATATAAAAAACGATGCAAAATCCATTTGGCTACACAACAAATAGTTCGTCGGAAAATGTTTTTGGCGATGCAAATATAAAAAAGAAAAAGGTCAAAAACATATTGTGACACAATTTATGTTTCATTGTGAAAATGTTTTGGTATCGATTTTCTTAAAATCATTGCCATTAATATGTTAGAATTTAATTTTTAATGTAATTTTATATTTATATGACAATAATTAAAAGTGTAAAACCAATCAATAATAAAAGAAATCAAAATTAAAAACAGTGTTAACTGTCAATATAAAAAATAATATCTTAGAAGTTTGGCTCTTGAATTTGACATTCAAGCATGTACGTCAATTTAAGAATGTTGCTAGTAAAGAATTTATTGTTTCACTTAATAGATTGGGTTGGTTATTATTTAATACTCATTTAAAGCCTTGATTTATAAATATATATAAATATTTATTAAAAGCTAATGACAATGCTCTTATTATTATTATTATTATTATTATTTATTTTGTAAATACGAAAAGCACCATGGGGTAAATTGTTTTTCAGGTTTTCAATGTTGGTAGCTTATATTTGATACTTGTTTGTTGCTGTTTGGGATCATTATTATTTTTTTTACAATATATATTATAATAAATTTATAATATTATTTAATATTTATATTTAAATGTCAAATTTAGTACATTAAATAATATTTATTAATATTAAAGCAAACAAATCAAAATTAATGCACAAAGAAAAATCACATCACAATTATGCAAATTAAATTTGGATAACAATAATAAATATTATTAATTCTCAATATCATCTTCAACTTGTACATCTTCACTTTATATCATCGTCACTAACTCTACTACTTGGCTCCATAAATTGAACAACTTCTGGTTCCACATCCACCCTACGAAGTTCTTCTTGTTCATTAACTTCTGCATCAATATGAAAACTAAATTTATCTAAATTATTGGCTTGATATGCATCATGAGTTGTCAATTGATCTTCCTTAATTTTATTGGGAATGTCATACAAATGCCTATGTTGCACCTTCTGTATAACTTTCCAAACCGGGTTGATGTGTAATCTAGTTTTCAGAGAGAACCAGGCTGTTAAAGGTATCGGATTTCGGTCCGACAGACTGGTACGATCCGGTTCTTTAAGTAGTGGATTCAGGAATTCACATCATAAGAATGTGATACATGTAAAACTCGACACTACTAGAAAAATATCCTTCCTTGACATAATGAGTTGACAAATTTTCTTAACTGTTTTCAAAAAACTGTCAAGAATTGTAATTCTTGATTGATTGTTGACCATTTATGAACTGCCAAGAATTTAAAATAATCCTTGACCATTTTGGATGATTCTTGACAGTTATTAACTGTCAATGAATTGGTTAAATATAAATTTTTTAAATCTTGTTTTTGACTGTTGTAGTCTAAATCTTTGACAATTTTTAACTATCAAAGATTAAGTATATAAAAAACAAAAACAAAAAAATTTGCCTTTTTTTGCCACCAATTTTTCATTCACTATTCCCATAATTTTTTCCTTAAAACTTATGCTTACCCTCTATTTCACTCATTTTTGCAAACCCTCATAGTCAACCTATTTCTGGCACTGGAAAACAAGTTCTCGTTTCTACCTGTCCTGTTTAGTAGATGACGACTTACTCAGTGACTTTGGCGCTTACCCTGTGTCTATTCTGACGGAGTTTGTTAACTTCGATGAGTTCTTGTCGAGGCGTATCCCCAACACCCAAATGTAGGGGTATCAAAAACATGTAGAAACCGAACTGAACCGAGAACCGAAGTGGTTTTCCAGTTATCCAGGAAACAGGCTCGGTTTTGGTCCATAGAAATAGAGAAAACCGAATTTCCAATTTTATTTAAAAGAATTAAAAAGTAAACAATTTTTCATTAAAATTAAAAAGATTATAAATCTAAAATTAAAGAAAATCAAAACCCCAAACCCGGTTTTAAAAATAAATAAAATATAACAATTTTTCCCACCTCAAAATTTTCACCAAGGCAAATTCTCCCACCCATTTTTCAATAAGTCAAAGCTAGGGTTATAAACTATTAGAATAACCCATTTCTTCTACCCAAAATTCCGGCGCCCAAAATAACTCTCTCTTCTTTCACCGACCCACTTCGTCAATTTTCTTGTTTTTTCAATAAACCTTTTGAAATTTCAGATGCACTGTTCTGGAATTGAGGGTTTTCTTTCCTAGAATTTTGGGTTTTTCCTGTAAGTAGTCTATCTTATATATCTTATAGGAATGGGTTTGAATTTTCGTAATGATATTTGGGGTTCGTGGAGTTTCAGCAGTTTAGACAAGGAATCGGAGAAGAGTATTGGTGTGAGTTGCGATGACGTCTGGGGTTCATGGAGTTTTAGCAGTTTAAATAATGACTTTTTAGATAAGGAATCGAAGGATAGTTTTGACCAAGAATTGGGAGGCGTTGTGGATGAGTTGCCTGTGCCTACGTTCACGGCAATCATTCCATATTTTGAGACGGATATTGGAGATTTATGGGGGTGTGAGAGTGAGAAACACAATGGAGACCAAAAATCCTTTTCTGGTCTCAATTTGGTGAGGTTTCAACAAGGGAAGGGTAACTTGCAATTTGATAAAATATCAATTCCAATTAGTAGTTTTAGTCAAATTGGGATTGGTAATGGGGTTTCTTATGGTGATAATTTTGGTTGTAGTGGGAATGTGAATGTGAATGTGAATGTGAATGTGAATGTGAATGATGGGGTTGTTTGTAATAATGAGGTTGAGGAAGTTTGTTTCAACTGTGGTGGAGGAGGTGTTCCACATGATACCTTATTTTTTTGCTCTGGGTTATCTGGGAGTGAAAGACCTCCTTTCGGTTGAAAGAGTTTGTAGGTCATTGCGTGATGCAGTTAGGAATGATCCTTTGTTATGGAGGAGCATTCACATAGATCAACCTTTGAGTTCGAAGATCAGTGATGATGCTCTTGTGAAGTTAACTGGCAGGGCAGTTGGTACTCTTCAATGCTTGAGTCTTGTGAACTATTGTAGAATAACCGATATTGGTTTGAAGCGTGTGTTCGAAAGCAATCCAGGGCTGAAGAAGGTTAGTACTCGTGGCTTAATTAGATTTCTTAGTTAAATCTATTTCTTATGCATATTATTTGTAATAATAGCTTTATGGTTCTTTATTTTGCTTTCCTCTAGTAATGGTTTGATGATTTTGCTAATATATTTACACAAAAGACACTGTAATTTTATGATATATTATGTTGTATTTAGATTCCATATAGTTTAAGCAAACAATAATTGGAAAGGTGGAGAGTGTTGACGAATATTTTTGTGCCCTCATTTTGCAAAAAGCTTTCTCTTAGCCTTCTGGATTTCTACTGAAGGGAACATATGGTTCAAATCAATTTACAGAACAATCTTTATCCTTCTTCTTAGAATAATTTAATACTTCAAGCCCTTCACTTCAAAGTTACCTTAATAAACTCCCCTTTCTTATTGATGTAATTTTTCTTTCAAATTGTTACATGTACATTTTAGGTAGGTACTTAGTATGGTTTAGTACATAACTAACTCATTGTCTTGTTCTATGGCTTGATACATGTTCTCTTACCTTTTCTTATTCTTTCGGGCTCCTTTAATTGTGTCAATTATCCTGAACCTAGGACTCAGGTGGTTATGCTCTTAAAATTTACTTCTCATCTTTTAATTTGTAGATTCAAATGGAGACACCATCTGGCATTAAAGATTCCATACCTACTTGGATAAAGTTCTTTGTACAAGCTCTAGGTGAAATCCCATACAGTGGTATATACTATGATCCACTAGAAGAGGTATGGTTCTGCAATCTTTTATTTCTCTAGGTTTGCTAAAACATTTTTGAGAAATTTATGATTTAGGCATGTCTAAGAATCTTTAGTATAAAAGCAAGAGTGACTTCAAATTCAACAATAACATTGGGAAGGATTTATGTATTAAATTTTGTAATTTTGAGTATGCTTTATTACACGGAACTCTTACCATACCATAACATTGACACTTGTGGAGATGCACTTTGATAAACTTTGCACTCAACAAGTAAAGGAGCAAAACCTGGTTACCATCGTGGATTGGGTTATGGTCCAAAACCAATTGCACTTCTAAGACTTCAAGGTGAGCCAATCAATAAGTTTTAGAGGAACTCACACACTTACGTGAGGAGGTGCAAGAACTAAGAGGCATAAGGGAAGAATTTCGCCAATATAGGCAAATGATGGAGAAGATTCTTGTTCTACTGGCTCACAGACATTTCTGGGGCAATTTCCACCAGATCCTCCTCCACCTGCAACAATTTGAGTTTTTATGTCATTTTTTGTTGAATATTAACAATTTAGTCAATTTTATATATTTTTAACTTTTTATTTGAAAAGAAACATATATAGAATAATATATTTGGTTTGATATATTTGTGTGATTTCAATTAATTACATTTACAAATTAATATTTAAGTTTTAGAATTAATTTTAAAATGTCTTAAGATCAATTAAATATTATTTAATCATATATTATAAAATAGGCAATGATAATTATATTTCGACGTTGTAGACTTTTAGCTATGAAATACATTCATCATTGAAAAGTTTTGTTGATGACTTTTATGTTTCATCGCTAATAGTTTTAAGTGATGAAATATAAAGTACCGTCGTGCTATACCTTAAACAACACATACAAAGATTACATCGCTATTAACTTTAGGCGACAACAACTCATTTTTATTGCACGACATGTTAGGCGACAAAACGTCACATTTCGTCGTTATATATTTTACGCGACGCAAACAATTATGGTGTTGCTATTAACTTTATGCAACAAAAATGCACATTTCATCGCAGTATTTCATAGGCGAGCAAAATTCACATTTTGTCGCGGTATACGTTAGGCAACAAACATATATTTCATCATGGTATAGTGTCGACGACACAATAAAGAGTACATCGCTATTAACTTTAGGCGACAACAACTAACATTTCACCGATAAATAGTTTTAGCGACGAAAATGGTATAGACGACAATTTTTTGGTTTGTCGCCAGATTTAGCGACGAATTTTAACAAATCGTCACCTAAAATCAAGCGCGACATGCCTATCACGACGATCGTGGCTGCGATTTTCTTCCGTCACTAAACATATTCCGTGACGATTTCTAGGTTTTTAGCAACGAAAAAATTCGTAGCTAAAAGCCCTTTTTGTTGTAATGATTGTAGTGACATTTTTGTTCTTCTGTCAAAGTGGCGAGAATTCTCTTGAGGTGCTTGTTGTAGACGAAGGGTCGCTCCAGGTTAACCAGGTGACCAGCCTTCTCTATTGCCAGTAAGGTTGCTTTGTCTCCCACCTGCCTGCATTATTGTTATAGTACTTGTTGTCATTTATTGTTTAGTCGATAAAGGAAACTAAAATCTGAAATTATTTCCTAAGTTGTATACGTATATATTTTATGATGAGTTGAATGACTACTCAACCACCTTATGGTTATGGAATTTAATTTCGAAATATTAAATCAAGAAGACGTGCTTAAAAAAATACATTCAAATCAACGAAATCTTAAGCCAGCTAGGCCTTGATCAATAATTTATGTATTAAGATAAAGTTAACTCACTCTTTCAAGTTCCAGGCAGTTTCCATATCGAAAATCAGATCATTTTCACCACACAAGAGATATATCTTCTGCAAAAATTTAAACCAATATATAGTAATTAGATAACATATACAAGGAAATAGCCTGTAGAAGATGTAGAATTCATTACCTGTGGGTAATGAGGAATGGAGAATTTCTTATCACTTATCACCAACGCCTCTAGAAGTTCAGTTCTCTCCTTTCTGTGATCAAACATGACCGGCCCACGTAGTGGAAAATATAAATGGCAGTATTTAGATACCTCTTGAACCTCAATAGATCTTCATATTTCATGAATGAAACTAAACGATATATTTACCTCCAAAATGTCTTCGCTGATGAATTTAGGCACTCTCGGCAAGTTGTAGCTGCCGATGTCAAAGAGGGTCCTCAAACCCTCGACTGTATTTGGAAGCAAAAACTCTGCCCAAGAAGAGAACCCGATTCTCTGAAGCGCGGCATTGCTTACAGACTCAGTCAACGCCATGACTGAGCAACTCACCACCATCGACTCAACCAAGTCCGGATACATTTCAGCCATTTTGAACCCAACCATCCCACCGTAGCTGACTCCAACAAGAGTGCACTTCTTCACTCCGAGCTTCCTCAGCCCTTCAGCCATACACTCACTCTGAAACTCCACCGTCCGCTCAGGTCGGTCAGTAACTGAACCGCCGAAGAAGAGAAAATCCGGAACGTAGACTGCATAGTTTTTGGCCAAGGCGAACACCTGGAATTGCCAGTTTAAAATGCCGTCCATGCCAAATCCATGAAGAAACACCACGGCAGGCTTGTTTTTTTTGTTATTCGTCTTCTTAGTCGTTTCAGTTGGAACCCAGAAGTTCAAGACCGTCCCTGGTTCGATCTCGACGGCTTGGGTTGTCATCCCAACTAGCTTCAGTACCCCATGTAACAAGGGCTTGTAAATGGAGAAAAAGTTGACCATCTCTCTGTCTTCTTCGCACTTCTAATTAATTTCTAGAGAGGAGATTTATGAGAAAACTCAGATTCTATAATCTATATATATAGTGACGAAAAGGAATGTGAAACTCTGATAAAAATCTATGAAATATATGGAGCGTGAGAAAGGGTGTTAAAAATTGTATTTGACACAGTTGATGGTCATGCACGTCGACCGTGAGAAAGGTGTTGAATGACGGTGTAAGCGTTGACGAAATTTTTTATTCGTCAGAGAGTGGGAAAATATGATGCTGGTTTTGACTTACTTGATTAGTTGGGAGATCAATGGGCGGCCAAGCCAAACATGAATTACGTAAGAAGTAAGTCTCATTAACTTGTTAATTGGGAGACCCTTATAACAGGTCGCTAATTTGGTAAGGAGTTAGCTTTTCAGGTTATACTCTATCCAAAAACTCTATTATAATACCAAAGTCATTGGCGATCATAGTTTTAGAACATGATCATGCACGTCTAACGTGAGAAAGGGTGTTAAAAATTGTATTTGACTCACTTGATTTTGTTAACCATGGTCATGTTGCCTCCACATTAGAGTTAGCTTTTGAGAATAAGTTATATAAGAAGTAAGTCTCATTAACTTGGTCAATTGGGAGACCCTTATAACACGTCGCTAATTTGGTAANACCATCTCTCTGTCTTCTTCGCACTTCTAATTAATTTCTAGAGAGGAGATTTATGAGAAAACTCAGATTCTATAATCTATATATATAGTGACGAAAAGGAATGTGAAACTTTGATAAAAATCTATGAAATATATGGAGCGTGAGAAAGGGTGTTAAAAATTGTATTTGACACAGTTGATGGTCATGCACGTCGACCGTGAGAAAGGTGTTGAATGACGGTGTAAGGGTTGACGAAATTTTTTATTCGTCAGAGAGTGGGAAAATATGATGCTGGTTTTGACTTACTTGATTAGTTGGGAGCATGATTGTTAGTATCCTATGATACTCGATACGTATCATACAATATGATTCGATACAGGTCGCCAATGATATGTATCAGAGTGTGTATCCTAAACTATTCGATACGTTGATATGTATCCTACGATACGTTACGTATCCGTTCGTATCCTTAAAAATATCGATATAAATCGATACGACTTTATTAATTTGGGCTAAAGATCCAAAAAAAAATTCGGGTCGAAACCGGGTCACCCAACCTGATTCACTAAAACCTGTCCATATTTACCTATTTTGCATGAAGAAAGTGAAGAGGAATATGTATTGCCCATTTTACATGATAATAATAATATAAGTGGAGATATAGATATTGACATTGATCTTGGAATTTTGTGATTAATTTTGATAATATAATAACGTAATTTAAAGTCAATAATACCATAAAATTCTTTAATTAATCTTGGGGATTATATTAATTTTTAGAAAATTTTGATTATTTTATTAATTTTTTTGAAAAAGGCGTATCTTATGATACGATACGATACGCTATACACGATTCAAAAAATTAGGTTTTCGATACACGATACGATACATGATTTGATAACCATGGTTGGGAGATCAATGGGCGGCCAAGCCAAACATGAATTACGTAAGAAGTAAGTCTCATTAACTTGTTAATTGGGAGACCCTTATAACACGTCGCTAATTTGGTAAGGAGTTAGCTTTTCGGGTTAAATTCTATCTAAAAACTCTATTATAATACCAAAGTCATTGGCAATCATAGTTTTGGAACATGGTCATGCACGTCTAACGTGAGTAAGAGTGTTAAAAATTGTATTTGACTCACTTGATTTTGTTAACCATGGTCATGTTCCCTCCACATTAGAGTTAGCTTTTGAGAATAAGTTATATAAGAAGTAAGTCTCATTAACTTGGTCAATTGGGAGGCCCTTATAACATGTCGCTAATTTGGTAAGGAGTTAGCTTTTCGGGTTAAATTCTATCCAAAAACTCTATTATAATACCAAATTCATTGGTAATCATAGTTTTGGAACATGGTCATGCACGTCTAGCGTGAGTAAGGGTGTTAAAAATTATATTTGACTCACTTGATTTTGTTAACCATGGTCATGTTCCCTCCACATTGGAGTTAGCTTTTAAGAATAAGTTTGACCCGTTCACATCGTCAATTTAATAGATTATTATAGTTTGTGTATATATATATAATTGGGAGCTTGAGTTCTACCCAATCCATTTCATCAAATTACAAGAAAAAAAACAAAACATTATTAGTTGGTGGTTTAGGGCAGCTAGTTTTCATATGCTAAATCATTCCAAATTCCTTGGCTTAATCGATATTATTCTTAAAAAAACAAAAATTTAACGAATCTAAATTCAAAACTGAACTTCTCCAATCGTATTAAAAAAATGATATCTATAAGGGAATTTGATTATCATAAAGTTGAACATCTTAACTATGATTCAATTTATATAATAATTTTGCAATAGTTGTCTTGTATTAGATTATATAAATAAAACAAAACCATTAATGAGATTCGTTTAAATTAATTTCTACGTGGATTTTGTAGCTTGGGTTTTTTTATGACCAAAGTGTTTAAATCAGTTTGTACGTACTTCAACTAATCTTTGAGATACATTAAACATCTTGTAAACCCAATGTTCCAAACAAACGGAACTCATGGAACATCCTATAAACTCAATGTTTTAGGTAAGTTACAAATGTGGTTAGTGGCCTCAACGTGATTTAAATCCAAAAAATTAATGAAAAGAATAAGCTTTCCTGGATATTTAATTTGGTCTTATTCTTAACGCGGTTTTATAAATAGTATTAATTGTGATCCACTCCACATAAATATATAGAAAAATAAATAAATAAAAATCATATCGTTCAACTCTGAATTAAGAATCAGATATGGACGATTGGTAGATTGATAGAATGTTTAAGGGTATATATTTTTAATATCTTAAATTCTCAATTAATGATTATTTAAGTTTGATAATCGCTATGAAAACAAAAACACAGCTGGTGACTGGTTGTAAGCATAGTTAGTAAATACGGAGTCCGGCTCAGGTCGGTCCGTGAACGAGCCGCCAAAGAAGAGAAAATCCGGAACGTAACTGCATGCGTTTTGGCCAAGGCTAGCACCTGAAATGCCAAGTTAGAATACCATCGAACCCAAACCCGTGAAGAACACCAGAGCTGGCTTGTTGTTAGTGTATCTGTTGGAAGCCAAAGTTCAAGACCGTCCCTGGCTCGATCTCGACTGCTTGAGTCGTCATCCCGACTAGTTTCAGTGCGCCATGCAAGAAGGTTTTGTATATCGACAAAAACCTTACCATTTTCTATATGGAGTTAAAGAAAGATACGATAGTACTTTAATGGAGTAAGATGTGAACGGTTCCTTGAAAACTTGATGTATGTGGTCTTTAAGAATTCAAGAACTGGAGAGCTGAGATTTGACTAGCCATAGTAGAATCTCCATAAAATTTTTGACAGAAAATTCAAGTCGATTTCTATTATAATAAGAGAAATGCTAGGTGTAATCCCCATTCCCCATAAATAATTCATCTCGGTTCGAAATATCAACTTGAAGGACTTTATAACGCGTTAAATTATTTTTATTTTTTTAATAATGAGTGTTAGTTCAAAATTTATTAGTTTGCGTCACTAAGTCAATATATCATATTAAAATTAAAATTAAAATTTTCTAAGTTGTATTAGCTGTCCTCTGATCTTGAACTTTTATACTTGCTTTTTACATTAGTTTAGTTGGCTACAAGAATTTGGCGTAAGGTTTGAGAATACTCGATAATCTTTAAAGAAAACTATCCCACAGGCCACAGCAACGATCATCGCACAGCAACTATCATCGCAAACTCTTAGATAAATCATGATAAATTATTCCTTCACACTCAACTGGGAATCGAACCTGGTAATGGGTGTTTTTTTTCTTTAATATATTTTTATAATTTCTTCTATAAGACGTAGATCTATTTCTATACTGAAGATAATGGAACTTGTGGTATATAACATAATCTTATTAGAATTAATTAAATATATTTGTCTATGGATGATGCATAGTAGTCGCCTAAGCTTGAATTAAATAGCTATGGCCATTAATTTCTTAATAATAAAATGCAACCCCATTTAGGATGAGAAAAACAAATATAAACATACTTCTCGATCTCAAAAACAAATAAAGTTAGCAAACTCTTATAAATTCATGCACGAATCATATTCTTGAAAAAACCCTCTAATTGTAGTGACATTTTGTTCTTCTGTCAAAGCACGGAATTCTCTTGAGGTGCTTGTTGTAGACGAAGGGTCGCTCCAGGTTAACCAGTGACCAGCCTTCTCATGCCAGTAGGGTTGCTTTCTCTCCCACCTGCCTGCATTATCGTTATAGTACTGTTTATTTATTGTGTAGTCGTATAAAGCTAAAATCTAATAATTTATCCAAGTTGTAACGTGTATATTTTATGATGTTGAATGACTATCCAACCACCTAAGGGTTATGGACTTTAATTTCGAAATACAAATCAAGAAGACGAACTTGCTTAATATATTATTATTGAAGAGTAGAGGGTCATGAATCAAAAGCATGGAAAAGTACCTAAGCGAAAGAGAGTAGACAAAAAGAGAAGGGAGACATGATGAAGCACCCACATCTCTCTGTACATACAGAGAGGAGATAGGCCAAAGTCAATACAAAAAGAGAAGCTCATATCCATTGAATTCACATGAGAATTAGATTTCAAACTCAACCAGGGCAGGATAGGGTCCCACTCCCATCTATTCTCCCTCACCCACAACCCAACCTATATAGATTTGCTAACTAACAAAATTACTTACATTACCTAAACATATTTATTTAATTTCTTATAATTAACAACAAAGCAACTTCTTTAGGTTCAGCCGTAAACATCATAGCTTGTTCCGCAATGCAACTCTTTTGCTACACAACTACACCCTTCACGCTTCAAAAATACTTCCTCTCCATTTCCATTTTCTTCTCTTTTCTACCTCTACCCGCTCCACACTTCCTAACCATAATCTCAACTTTTTTCACCAATCAGCTAGCGTTGATGTAACTGAATATTGATGAACTGCTGCCACTATCTCACCCGCCGACCATCTTACACTCA